TTAAAGAAAATCAATCAATTAAGACAACATGTAATGAATCGTCCAACAATAAGGGGGCGGGAGATAGGTAATCAATAGTTCAATAGTGTCACGGGGTCTGCCTATAGACCTTCCTTTGGCTTGTGAACAATATCCCCTAACTTGTTTTTCTCTGGTAAGGTTTGGGTAGCTAGAGATGCATGTCTAAATTATGGAGAAAAAAATCAAAAGCTTATTCTTCCAAACATGTGCCCTGGTTTCATATATGTATACTACTTTGCTGTCACTCGGAATCGAGTATGACGATCATCCAGCTATGGTACTGTATAACACAGTACTGCACAGTACAATACGCTGTATATCAAAAACACTAACAAAGCATCAATACTTCTGACATAAAATGAATGAGGAAGACCCGACAGGACCTAAACTACATTTTGAGGTCTGCCCCCAACTACCTCTGGCCTCATCCCCTCAATACTTGGGCTCACTAACATTCTACCAGGGCAAAACAGAGGTAGATAAAGGTTTATTTATTTAATTCCTCATACTTTTGCATGCTGAGATGGCTCAGCAAGGATGATTACTGGTAAGAATGATAGCTACAAGATATGTATTCTGGAAGGGGAGTGGAGAAAGTGCTAGAGGTGAGAAGGGTGAATGTAAGAATATGGCTTTGAAGCTTCAAGTAGGGAAGGATCTAATAACAGTTATTTCTGAATACACCCCACAAGCTGTGTTAAGTGAAAAAATGAAGGAAGACTCCTGGGAAAAATTGTTGCAAGTACTGTCAGAGCTGGGCGAGAGAGATCGTAGTCCTGGGTGGTGACCTAACCAGTCAAGTTGGAGCACACTCGGAAGGTTATGAAGGTCTGCATGGTGGACAATGCTATGGTACAGTACAAGAAATGTGGAAGGAGAAAGAATACCTGAGTTCGGGGATGCAATGAACATGGTTGTACACAACACGCTGTTTAACCCCTTTTGATGCGAATGCGGAGTAGATAGCTGTACCCCTAGTGTGAAGGAAAAGTAGAAAAATGAAAAAAACAAAAATAAATTGTAAAACAAATATTTGACCTAAAATGTTGTAATATAATGTAAAGTCATTTTATGCAATAAATAACAGTATCTGACCACAATTTCTGTGTAGAGGTACACAACTACAGTACACATACACACATTTTCCTCTATACAACACACAATACAATGTACACAAAGCTAGATACACACTTACATATACACACTATGCACACATTCACATACAAAAACAGACACACACACATACAGTACATCCACAAACACACTCAGGTTTGTCAGGTTTTCCTGTAATTGCAATTTAAAGGTAAAGAATTTTTCATATTTAGGTCTGTCATTAATTAGCTAGGAGCTAATCTTCTGTTAATACAGTTGTACTGTACAGTCAAGCAGTGAGCTACCTTAAAAGTTTTTCTTAACCCTGTCAATGTGGGGACACCACTTTTAAAATTTTATTTGACCAACGTCAAACGATTTTATTCAGCAAAAAGAGACCCCAAACAAAAGAAAGTCACACAAAACCCCCAAACTGCTAACTCACAATTAGGTGTTTTTCTCTGTAAAGTACAACCATTTGTGTTTTTTAACTTTTCTAGGCATCCTAATGTCTACCTGTAATTTCCAAATAGTGTCTAATATATATTGAGGGGCTTGGTTGGCATTATGGGACCAGATTAGCAATACAGTCATAAGTTTAAGGGAGCTAACATATCATAACACATACAGTACTATCACAGATATTCAATATACATAAATTAATACATGACCTTTTAATACTAACCAGGACATACACTACTAATCAAGTCTTACAGTGACACTCAAAATCATGTTTTCATTGACTTTAAAAGTTTGACAACATAGACTACATTATTGCCCTTCAAGAACTGTACTAGGTTCAGTGCTGCCTATTAATACTTCCTCTCAGATTGCTGCTAGAGAGTTGTGTACTGTACTAATTTTTTAACAGAGTGGGACAATACTATAACAGTAAAATGCCACAAGGTATCCAACCAAGACCAGCTATATTTTTGGTTACAGATAATGGACTCGCAAGAAAAGAAAAAATTTCCTCAAAATCTGAAGCCGCCTCATGTCATTAATGCTGTTCCAAACTCTACTATGAGTACAATACCAGTAAGTAATAAGTCCCTTCTGAATGTAGATTGTAACATACGGTGAATATGATCTTAAATCCTGAAAAAAATGTGAAGTTAAACTCATTTAACCATCAGGAACCATTGATTCACTATGATATTCTACTATACAGCGCCCCTCTGCTTACTATCAACTTATCATATTGCCAGGAATCCATATCAACCCTGTAATTGGATGGTCTGATCATGTTAAGTACATATATAACTATTAAAGTGGCTAGAATATGGTTCATCATTTATTACTTTCTAACAAAGTCCTTTATCTGTATTCTGAGCCATCCCCTACATGTTAACTGAGCCTTGCAGTGCCATCAAAGACCCAACACTGGAGCAGGTTCGGATACATTCAGGAGCCAGTGCATGCCCAGTACTTGCCAAAGGTGTGTAAGAGATGTGATCAACTGCCCAAGCGGCTAACGAGCCCATCAGTGGTGAAGAGGATAAAAGTAAAGGTAATACTGTATTGCTAGCCAATCCCTGATCAAGTTTTACTTTCGTTTTTTTTCTCACTCTTTAAAACCCTTTGCTGCTCAAAGTATAATACTTTCTCCCTTCAAATGATGTTATTCATTCATTCTCAATATTGTAAATGATGTGGTCTCCTTTGGTGTTAAGCTTCCACAACATTTCATTTCCCCACCACATCACAAAGCCTAGCATCACCAATCAGCAGGATGCCCATCACTATAAACTCATTCAATGCTATACTCTCCAGTCATTCACACACATTACTGTTCAGGAAGTTAGGTCCAAAAAGCTTGTTTCCACCATCTAACACATAAAAACAAAAGATCAATAAGTTAAACATAAGTTCTGGTTAGGTTATGTCTGCTGTTGCAAAATGTTAACTTGCATGTAAACCAAGCAAACCCAAATCAAGCAAAATAAAGTGTAAGCCAAACCCAATTTGTTGCAAGAGCCTCATCCCAAGCAATAGGTGTACGTGAAGCATATGATCCTGTCTAGTGAAAAATTCAACAAGCACATGCATGCATTAAAACACCACATATTTAAAAACCTCTGCCACAGGTAATGAGTATACATAAATACACAAGAACCTATACATGGATAGAAAATTATCATAGATTACCTGAACAATAATTAGTTTTGTACACGAGACATATAAATACATACTTAATGTGATTTTACATAAGGTGAAACAAATTCTAAATTTGTCACATGACAATTTTGTTAAAGCTTAAGACTCCTTAAAATGTACAGTACTGTATGATTAAATTAAGTCTGGGCAATTGTTTTATAATCCTCACCACCTTTCTTAATACAACATATAACAAAACAAATGCTTGATAAGAGTGAGAAATTTATGTAGCACATCCAAAAGTAAAACCTTAAGTGACCAATCTCCATAAGCTTCGAGCATTTGAGTGGATACGACACAGCTTAATTTTAGTTTGTAGTTTGGTTGATCTGCACCACAAGCAATCTTTACCCTGTAAAGGGCAGTCCCACACGGAGGTTCTGTACTGTATTCTGGCGAACACCATACAATCTATTCAGCTTAGAGAAACCCCCCATCCTGACTTTAAAGGGTGAAATGGCTTACACACAGAGTCTTCCACATTTGATGACTGTTTAAAAAAGCAATGTTTCATATTTGTTTCACTCATTTTGGATATGGCTGAAGCTACAATAAAACTTTGAAATTATTTAAGACATAATGTGTGTCTTTACAGTAGTACAGTATGTGAAAAAGAACTGTCGCTGACCTCTGCCTAATTTTACCAAGAATGGACCACTAAGCAATTGTTCATTCAATTATACTTGCTAAAAATCTCAGTTCATTGTCTTAATTTGCTGATGGCACTGAGGCACGGCCCACTTGTAATTTCTTAAGTAAAACCATTGTAGTCTTTCCTTGCACCAAACAATTTGCACTTTATGTATCCCTATTAAAAATTCACAGACATTTTATGCTTCCTTGTTAAAAACATCCCTCGCAAATTATTACACTGACGACCCTAAAATATACCCATTCCAGAGCTTTCTCATCAAGTATCAAGAATGTAAAGTAAAGCATCACTCCTCAGGAACATACATGTAAGCTAAGCTAGGCAACTTGAGGCCTTCATGGAGATTCATGGATAATTGGAGCATGTTTTACATCAGTGTTGGTTCTTATATATTCATTTAACTACAGACTTAGCAATGCATGAAACAAACTTTAATGAAAAAACAAATATTTGGCAAACGATACAACCAAAACAATGCAGAATCTGGCTAAGTTACTCCACCAAACAAAACATTAACATTCTCAAAAAATAAAACTATGTACATTGTATAGCAACACGTAAGATTGATTTTTAAATGAATAATAAAATCTGCAAAAATAAAACATGGATTTTGATCGTGTGTAAATGCTTCAACAAAACCCTCCAAAGTTTCATCTTAGACTGTCCATATTCCACTCTACAGTCGTCACCAACTTCAAAGAAATTTATATTGAAAAGTTTTTACTGGAAAAAAATTAAAATTAAATTCACAACGAACTCAAACTTTAAGGTCTATATATACTACTAATTTAATTAAAGCTTTTCCCTTGTCAGCATGACCTTCAGTTAGTAAAAGTACTACTGTCAACATTCGACTTCCAGTTGGCCCGACATGATAGTAAATGCAGAGGTCAGTTCAATCACATAAGTCGCCCTGTAAACTTTGCCAAAGCCTCATACGAAAATTTCCGCTTACTTGTATCAACTTTAGTATGAATACAAAGGATAGATTACGTAATATTAATACAAATATTTCTCATAAACAAGGCAGCGTTAGATTCTAAATACAAATTCCAAATATTAAATACACAATAAAGATTGATATGGAGTGTCGAGAAAGTTGTAATTCATTGGGATCAGGAAAGAATAAGTAAATTTATAAATCATGTCCATGGCGGCAGGGCAGCGAAACGTCGCCATGTCGGGTGGTGCAAGCGAGTCCTGCCACCACCACACTGGCACCCACCAGCTGTGGCCGTCCCACCAACACACCCACCTCCCACAACTCTCATTTATCGCTTTAATCAAGACTTTTAACTCTCCTCGACTTCAAGGTAACTATCTAGGACTATGTGAACCTTAAATGAAGCATCACTGAATTTTGCAAAGTGAATTCACTGCAAATTTTACCAAAACAAGGTTGGGGTGTGAAATGTTGGTGTGTTGCGGGGACGGTGTGGAGGCGCAGGGCGCATGCGTGCCGCCGCTGGGAGGAGAGTCGCTGTAGAGCAGCCGCCACACCGGACCTGTGGAAATGTTTGCCTCACCCTCACCACATACCACATCACCACTGCCTACGCCGCTCTTGTCACCACACAACGTTGCTCTCCGTGCTGGAACCACTGTTTTGTGACTTTAAAGTTCATCTAGTGCTTTATTTTGGATAAAATTGACCGATATATTGTGGCCCACCTGACGGCCGTTGTCAGTCATGGCGGCCCGTATTATGAGCTGTAGCTACGGTGCTGTGCAGATAAAAACCATTTAATGGTTGTTAAAGTGACTCAATACATCCTGAAGATGCTTACATTATAATCTTGATCTGTGCACGTCAATAATCTTCGTTTAATTTCTTCTATGGAGTGCTGCATGAGGCCGCGCGTGTGGTCACGTCGGCGCAGCGGTGGTGACTGGTCGGGGCGGCGACATGGACTGGCGGGACGGGGGATTGTGGGTAACTGAGCGAGCCGGGGAGTCGCCGAGCCCGCACGAGCACCGTGACGTCATCATCGCCTGCTGACCTGCGCCTCCCCATTGGCTAGAAAGCCACCAGAAAGCTGTGATGTCATGGGGTCGTCACGGATACATCACTGGTAGCAGGGCGGTGTGTGATCGGGAGGCGGGTGTCAGTGCCGGCCCGGGCCGCTCCTCTGCTGCACAGATCCGTACACTGCCGCGCCGCTTTGCCATAGTCACGTGCGTTGACTACGCCTTAGAAACTAGGAACATATATTGCCAGGATATTGTAAATAATCTAACATTGTTTGAACATGGATTAAATTTATGAATACGATTACAAGAATTTAAGTTTTTTTCAAAAAAGCCAAAATACAAAATAGTGGAAAAAATGTCACACGTGGTGAACCCAAGCTCCACGTGTCGCAAGATTCCTTTACTCCTTTCCGCATTATTATGCCTTTTGTATATGCTATGAACCCTCAGTTTCTCAAATATATAATGGCTGGAGTAATAAAGTACTTACCATGATTAATTACGCTGTGAGCCACTAATTACATTGAGCTTAGGAAAGAAAACTAAGGTATGTAATGCGGTTGAACGTAACGTATATTTGGACAAAAGGGGTTTCGCTCAATAACGTGGTTTTTCTTATAACGTGGTAATCTGCAAGGTACAGAATTTACGTAGAAGGCGGCAGGATACCAGACGATTACCAAGAGTGGCAGGAACTTATCAATTATGACCCAACCAAAATCTGTTCACTTGGGTAAATTCCCAAAGGGCAGGTCACTGATGATATTGTCATTGAAAAGAAAATTAAATAAAAATCTATGGGAGCATTATCTACCCCTACGACTCCGGACGCCCATGTAGTGTGGCTTGTGAATGTAAAAAGGAATTGTTGATCAAATTCTTCGCTTATACCTTCATCCCTTTATCATTAATTTCTCTAATTCATTATTTTTTGCTATGGTACAGTGGTAGATCTCTTGCCTCTACACTGTAACCCGCGCTATTCTCCCTTGGGGTCCCAGATTTACTACGGGTACACGGATTTCATCCACTCCGCGCAGACTTATCTTCCTTCATTTTTTTATTACTAAAGGTATCCCACTGTAGGGCAATAATTTATTTTACACACTTTTGCAGCGAATGTGTTTTACAGATATTTAGATTTTGTAACCCAAGTAATCGTAGTTACTATCCAGCCCATTCATTGTAATTATTTTTCTCATTTCTTTCCCTTACACTCTTTTTCATTACAGGATAAGACTTAACAGGGTCAAGGTCATTTATTCTATTAATGGACTTAATCCACACGAAATCTACTGTACTAACACATCTTTCGTGTGACTATATTTTATGTTAACAGACATTCGCGTTGAGTAGTTCATTTCATTCGCGTCAGTTTTAAAAACGTCACGTAGGTCTACTATTTGGCGGTGACGATAAAAAAATATGCATAATTATGCACTACTGGTATTAGCCCGAAAGTAAAAATTATTTAATTATTAATTATAAAAAAATGAATCCAAGGTTAAATTTGAGGTTTGCTAAATGTTTACGTATTCTAATGAGCTGCGAGTCACCGTAGATTTTGGTTCATAACGTATTTCTACGTAAAAAAATACCGAAATTTCGTATATTTTTCAATATATTGAATTAGTTTGATTGAGTAAACAGATAATGATACTAGCATAAGATATATATATATATATATATATATATATATATATATATATATATATATATCCTATGTGATCATACACAATAACATAATTGCTATAATCTGAAGGCTTTCAGTCATTCTTCGGAAGTTCCAGCAGTAGGCAAATGTTTATGTAGCGAGACAACATAAGCCACGGTAGACTTGGACTTTAATGACACTAATTTTGTGTAATTCCCATTCAAGATTGATCTAAGTGTGACTCCTTTACTCTTGAAATGACAAGAGTTTCATGCCGACAATAAAATAAGCATGAATTTTGACGTCTGTGATAACTTCGCCAAGTTTTGGATGAGCTTACCGAAGAGAAATACAATGGTTAAGAATCTTGTAGTACATTAAATCTGAATTCCGTAAACTTATTTCAAATATCAATTGCTTGCTCTAGAGGCTCATTAACCAGGTACAGAAAATCAATAAAATAATCGCTCATTAAGTTTGCCCTGTCTCGGTAACTGACAATGACATTAAATATTATTTGACTTGTTTTTACATTTAAATAAATATACATAAAAAGTACCATTGTTTATCTTTAGATTCCTCATTAATATGACCAATGTCAAAATATATGTAGAAAATAATGTGTATACAGTATACTTAGTATGAGTTCATAACTGATGTACAGTAATGTAATATTTTGCATATATTGGATATTAGATAACTTTACTTTAACAGATAATACTGTAGCACTATGTAATCACTAACCATTATGAACATTTGGACAGAGGTTTGTTTATACGCTATTAAAGATAATTGAATTAAAATTTTATTAGTATAAAAATTTCAAATATTTTTATAGTATATTACGTATAATCAGAATATCCCCACCCTGTGGTAATGTAATTGCCATTTGTACAAAGACTTTTGGGGGTCAGTTCTCAAAACATTTGGCAGTGCTTTCGAACTACATGAAACCAGACTTAACAAATACATTCATTGGGGTGTTTGGTAGACTACACAATTCAGTGACGGACTGGCTCTTGAAAATTCAGAAATCAGCCTGGGAAAAATGAAGCAGCCCACTTCCTGCCCACGAGGGACTTAGCATTTTATAAATACTGTATACAAAATTTCAGTCTATTTCGTTGTTTTCAAGGAACAATTTTTGAGCTTCAGCATATATTTACAATTAGAGGGCATTATTTAAGAATATTGCATTTGTTAACTTGAAATGAGGAAGTTAATTATCTGTAGCTGTAGTTTAGATCGATTTACGTTCACCTGTACCATAATATAGCCTAGCTTACTCTAGCAGCTTCATAGAAACAATGTTGTCTGGATCACCACACAAGAGCCTCTGGGCAATTATGAGGTTGATTTCATTTATGTGGGGGAGAGTGGCGTGGTGTAGCGTGGAGTGTTGTAATGTGGAGGGAGTGTGGAGTGTTGTAATGTGGAGGATGGAGGGAGTGTGAAGTGTTGTAATGTGGGGGGATATGGAGTGTTGTAATGTGGAGGGAGTGTGGAGTGGTGTAGTGGAAGTGTGGAGTGACGTAGTGTGGTGTGGAGTGAGGTAGTGCAGTGTGGAGGGGTGTAGTGTGGTGTGGAAGGAGTTTGGAGTGGTGTGGTGGAAGTGTGGAGCAGCTTAGTGTGGTGTGAGGGGAATGTGGAGTTAGGATGAGCGGGTAAGCTGCTTGTACTTATAATAACGTTAAAAACTATATAAATCAACGTTCACACCTGTACCAGCAGATACAGGTGTTCCAAATGTGTAGCGGGCGAGGGGGCTGTCTCACACACACACCCTTTCCCTCCTGTGTCAGTATTGCATTCAGAAATGTATGAACACTTAATTGAAGAAGGAAATGCTTAAAAAAAAAGTGACAATGATGAGAATATACTGTACAGGGATACTTTTGAGCCAACAAGAAAAAGGAGCAAATTGGAAGCGATATAAATACAGTAATGATTAATTTAAAAGTGGTAGTATATTTATAAGGTGCAGAGGATTAGAAATTTTCCCCCTTCCCCCAAAAAAGTTAATTATGTAAGTGAAAGAAACGTTGAACAAAGAATAGATCAGGGAGGTGAAAGATTGTTATAGTGTACAGAAATGTCTAACTCAGGAGGGTGGGGGAGGGGGAGAGGCAAAGAATAAAATTGAAGTACAAGGTGAATGATAAACAGTACTTAATTTATCTAATGCAACCAACCTAGCTAGGACATGGGAAGGTAGCCAATGGTCTGTACAGGATCCACCCATTGTACTTGAGAGATAGTCTTGTCTAGGATTATTTTGAAGTCCAGTACTGTTTTCGCTTCTATGACTTGGGTTGATAGACTGTTCCATATATCTACCAGCCTCTATAGGAAATATTGATCGGGTTTACATCTTCCATCCCTTTCAATGATGCACAAGAAAAAAGTTGGGGTGAAAGCTGAAGAGCAGAGACCTTGGTGTCATGTGATTATTTTAAAGAAGGATGTGTTGCTGATGGGTGAGGCTGTTTTGTCTAAAAGAGACATCACTTTCCTTGAAATGATACAGACTATGTGTACCAAGGTTTACCAGTGGATATGTTGTCCATGGATTTTTCTAAGGCATTTGACAAAGTCTCACATGCCTGGCTAGCCTTTAAGATCCAGGCACATGGCATCATTGATAAGATTTTGAAGTGGATTAATAACTGGCTCGAAGAAAGGCAACAAAGGGTGATCATAAACAGTATATTTAGACTGGAAAAAGGTTTTCAGTGGAGTACCACAAGGATCTTATCCATGAACCTATCCTATTGTGATCTTCATAAACGATAAAAATGAAAATAGATTGAGCCATATTGTCAAGTTTGTGGATGACAAAAATATTTGTGAGGGAAGCAAGTCACGGTAATTTCACAACGATGCAGAAAGATCTGCATGAGCTGTACAAGCAGTCTCAAAACTGGCAAATGCTCTATAACATTATAAAATCTATTACGCTGCACATAAAATACAACAACCCTAGTCACAACTATTCTGAAGGTGGTACAAATAGGAACAACAGTGGAAAAAGCAAACTGAGATTTAGGAACTATAAAGCATACCTTTGAATACAAAGATAGGAAAATGCTCCTTCAGCTTTATAAATCTCACGTGCATCCAAATCAGCATTACTGTATACAAGCATGGAAACCCTACCTAATGCCCCAAGAAAAGGTGCAACACAGAGTGATTAAGATGATTCCAAAAATAAGTCACCTTGATCATCCAAGTAAACTGAGGGCTTTAGAACTAACAAGTCTTCAGACAAGACACAATAAGGCAGATCTCATAAAGACATTGAAAGGGATAGAAAACTTTAACCCAGGCCATATATTTGTGATGCTATGCACCACCAACATGATGGGACACAACTTTAAGCTCACCAAGTTATCAGGCAGAATGAATAAGTAAATACTCCTCTACACAAAGAGTGGTAGATCTATGGAGCAGTCTACCAGCCCAAGCTGTGGAATTAAGAACAGTATTGGGCTTCAATATAGCTAAACAAAACTATCAACAATAATGGAGAAATCCTACACAGGCCACTGGCCTCCTCCCAACATTACCATCTCTAGTGGGTAGCCATTATATAAACTAGTTAAAATAATTATCTATACAGAATTACCTTGATTGATCAGAATTTCAAATGTAAGTAAACTCCGAAGTTCACAGTATGATGTGAATGGGTAAAGACCATGAGTTGCCATCACCATCCTCAAACGGTTAAGTAAAGTAAAGTACAGTACAGTATAGTACAGTATAGTATAGTACAGTTCTGTACAGTATCATCAAATATTATAACTGATATTCAAAGCCAGTAGTTTCTGTACATTTTATTAAATCACTCATTACCCTCAATTGTACATCCCAACATTGGTGAAGGTAAAGAAAACCTTTCATGATCAAAATGGGAATTACAGACACATCAGGTTCATTTATTACAGCAATGAGTACATAATTATCTGATAATATAATCCCAATTATAACTGAGAAAATGTATTTACAAAACAATACATACTTCATGGAATAATTCTGCAGTAATCATAAACATTAATCTGTGTTACAGTGCTAGTGTATAATTCTATCATAGGATGTAATGCAAAAATTTGGAAGACTTTATTACATATACCCTCAAAAACCAATGTTCTCTTCATAATACAGGTTGTACCTCTCTAGTCCGGCAACCTCGGGACCTGACCGGTGCCGGACCATGGAAATTCACCCTTTTCCTGAATAGATAGTGACTTGTGCTTATGCTTGGAAGCACTAGCACCACTTTCTCTGCATCATGGTCTCTTTGAAGACATATTGAAGGGTTAAATGTCGTATAGTAGCTTCTCAAATTTCGCGAGTTTTTAATTCTTAACGTATTTTATTGGAACACACAAAAAAATAAATAAATAAAAATTTTGACGGCGGAAACTTGAATTTCGACGGGTTTGAACGGCCCGCCAACGTGCAGACGACAGGCATAATCGTGTAAACAGCGTCATTTCTCTTATGTACAAAAGATTCATTATTGTTTATTACTGAATGTCTTTTTTATTGAATTAATATTTATGTGTGCAAAATGAGCAATACAATTCATTAATAATACGTAAAATATTAAAACACACGAGGAAATGACACAGCATTGTTTTCGTTGATTACAAAACCAGTGACTGACTGGTTCTACATATAAAACTGAAGAAAATAAGACCCTGATTTTAGCTGCAGTAAAATTAATGTAAAAAAATTAATATGGTTGTTTGAAGTACCTGTAATGTTATTTAATGTTAATAAATGGAACAATATAAGTAGCTAACCATTAATGGTAAAAAAAAAAAGTGACTGCGCATATGTAAGTGCGCACATGTGAAAACATATCGTCATTACTCTACATAAGAATATGAAAGCAACACTTATTTACTGCTCATATATATTGAAGGGTTAAATGTTGTACTCTGTATAGACAAGCAGAGAGAGAGAGAGAGAGAGAGCAGCCGAACTGCCGGATGTAAACAAACCTTAATTTCCCGCGGCTTTTTTTTTTTAAGGGGATTAGCCCACCCGGGCATAAGTCACTGACCCACGAGGGGCCTGAGGGGCAAAAATTTAATACTCCTGTAATAATAATAATAATTAAAATAAGTAAAAAAAAAAAAGCTGCCTATCTACCTGTTGGACAAACTAAAATCGTTCCGGACCACTGGAGTTTCCGGACCACAGAATGCCGGACTAGAGAGGTACAACCTGTAGTCTTAAATATGTAATCTACACAAACATTACATTTCTCTTGTTAAAAAAAAACTAACATTCATTAGACATGGAAATATTACACACTACATATAAAATATAGCAATATACATGGTATTATACAGTATACAATATTAAAATGATTGTATACAAAGCACATTAATATTGACAAACAGCAGCCACTTTATTGTCACAACCAATTATTGGAGGAAATTGAACAGCCCTACTTAAGAGTATTCAGTAAAAAAGACATTAAAAAAAAAGTATTTGGTTTCATTGAATACCTGTAAGCAGCATCCAAGTTTACCATCTATGCAGAAAAT